TAAAAAGATTGTGTTGATGGAGTGCCAGAGAGTGCTCATAGTACTAGTAGATCTTGGTCAGACCAATCGTCACAAAATGAAAAAATTTGACAGAGGTCCACCCAAGGTACATACTAGTACATGCCAAGTATAAAATCAATTAACTTCTAGTTTTTAAGAAGTCGAAAATGCAATTGTTGGCAGACAACAAAGGATTTAAAAAAAAAAAAAAAAAAAAAAAAGCAGGAGAGTCCCTTATTAAGGGACATTTTTCTATTTGAGTTTAGTTTAAGTTTGAAACTTTTTACTTTGCTCATAGGGACTTTCTATTTTTAGCCAGCTACTACTTTGGGTAAATTTCTTGAGGGTCTTGACTGACATAGGCAGATTACACTAACCTATCCAACGTTTACATTGGAATTTGTTAAGTATGAATTCACTGTGCCAAATTGCAAATTATTCCAAAGGAAATTTCTGTATTTTGACATGACGCATTCTGGCGTCCACTTTCCATAAGCCAAGAAATCTCAATCAAAAATCAGATCTTTTGTGGATTTAAAGTGGGGATAGAAGCAAATATAAATCTTTTTTTTTTCTCTTTTTAATTTTAATAAAACATTTCCTGTGTCATTAACGTGAATTTGTAACAACCATAGATAAAATGTGGATGCTGAAAGCACAGCATATATAGTATTCACCGGTGTTGTACATCAAATCACTTGCAAGTGAAAAACAAGCAGTCTGTCGGCTGAGATAGCTCCGCTGTTAGCAAGACACATTTCAATTAAAGAACTGAAGATATCATTAGAAAATGAACAATATGTATAGTATCAAAGCAATCGGACTTGCCGTTTTCAACAAGAATTTGAAAATATCACTTTTTACCAAAAACAAAACAAAAATAATCATTAAAATTAGAGAATTGAATGAACAAATCTGAGAGCGAACCTTATATATGCAATATCGTAGCAATTGGACTTTTTACCAATAATTACAAAAATATTCACCAAAAATAGAGAATTTGAGATTTTGACATGAAATGAATAAATCTGAAAAAGAACCATCCAAGGTACTTGCATATCAAATTTGAAAACATTCTGACTTGCGGTTTTGAAGAAGAAGTTGAAATTGTAAAGGTCCCGACTTTGTCGACAGCGGAGCTAAAAAACTTGTGTGACTGTAAAACAATAGTACAGTCAACACACCTATACATCAAAAATAAAATATTAATCTGTGCCTGATGTCCCTGGTGTTTCTATAGATACACTGGAACTAGTATAAATATGGCAATTGAGAAATATAAAAGATGACAATATACCAGAAGGATTTCATTAACAGTCACCAAAATATGTGTAGACTAAACCATGACAACATCTCTTTCCTGTTACATCTCAAGGTCTCCAGTATGAGATGCTCCTCACATAGTGTCCATGGGATATCCCAAGCTACTAAAATATCCAAATCCCAAAATACTAAACAATTTTCTTCTAACCAAGTTAAATATTATTGATGTTCAGATATAAAAATATGGATTTATTATAATAAGTTGAATAAAGAGTAAAAGAAAGATCATTCATGCAATTTTAAATTATAAACAAAATACATGTACATGTAATGAAGACAGTCAATCAGGCACATCATCACTAGCTATAAATCCTACAACATATCCGATTACATTTGAATTTATTAGTTGTCAGTTTACTTTTTATAGAGTCAGCCATTACAAACAGTAAAATATATTCTAGGTGGAATTAAATTTTGCTGCTGATGAGTTAAATTTAGAATACAAAAAAAAGGCTTTTTCACTTGATTTTATTTACACTGATTTATTCTTTTAGCAAAAAAAATTGCAAGTGAAAATAATATTTTTTTTACAGTACTAGATCACACACAGTCTATTCAGCAAAGGTATATTTATTTGATCAGCTGACCACAGTTTAAATGCACACATCAAAATAAGTTATCAAAAGTAAATGTTTTTCATCAGCGTCTTCAAAGTCTTGGCATGAAATATTGTAATTCAAATGATATTCATTTTCGCTAGCATGTTTGCATCTCCAAAACCATTTTTCAGCTGATTTAAAAGGTATAGCAATTGAAAAAATATTAAACCTGTATTTCCCCGAAACTTGAATAACATCTAATTCCTGTAAACAAAACTGCTCATCAAAAACACATGTGAGGAATTCATTATAATAAAAAATAATTCACGGTAACAGTCATCTGAAACCGAGGAAATCACTGTTGCACAGCAGAACTGCACATATGTATAAAATATTTCACTCAATAACCAAATTTGAGCAAATACATACTGGTGACAAAACTAATGACCAAGAAACCTTCTGTATGCAGCAACCATTTTTGCTTCCAGAAAAGGCAAATAAGTTGAGCAAAATGACACAAAACTCGTTCACAAGCTAGTTTCATAGCGTGTGAAATGAAAATCAAATTTTACACTACTGCTGTGCAATCGTCCAGGGAAAGCACTTGCTAGATGAAATGCTGGTTTTACCTAAATTTGTATACATGCCGTATTTTATGTTAATGACAGTTGTACATCTATTCAGTTTGTAATAAATGCAACTGATGGTTTACATGTACTTCTAACAGAGCAAATACCATAAGTGTTCTTCAAGGCTATCAGAAATAATATGATTACAATTCACTAATGACTCTAGGGCGACAAACTGGTCTCTCACGAAATAAACAAAATTTTACAGTATGTACCAGGGATAGTTGATAATAATTCATATCTGGCATGATGCACTTTTCAAATTCTCATTCTAATAAATTATATATTTTGGCATCTATATTAAATCAGTACACTATATGGACACTGAATATCATGTTGTATATACAGTGAATATTATGAAAATCAAGCAGTCAACTGCACTGTGATGATTCACAGGATAAAGACCACTGTGTTTACATTGTAACAACCAATAACCATAACAGCAAAATATGCCAAGCACCTATATATTATCACCATCTGTAAAATAAAACATACAAGAAATAAGTTTGGTATGTTTCGAGACATGGCTTAGAAAAATGTAATTTTGGTTGAGTTTGGTACACTCGTCATAGGTCACACTATAATAAATAATTACCGTACTTGACCGCGTTAGCGCCCAGGGTCCTCAACTCATAAAATCTGAATTGTTCAGGGGTGGGCGCTTACCCGAGCACCCCCCTTGGTAAAAGAGTGCAACTGACAATTTTAATTCACCGTGACAGATTGAGGAGGATATTACGTCTTTGAAAGTTTGAGGGAAAATAAAATTACAAAATTAGGGGCGTCGTCATTGACTCTTACAATGAAGAAACAGAAATGGTCAAATATGCACATTTTATTACAATATTAATTACGTACCACCCAAATTTACGAGATTAAAAATATTTGAGTCAGTTGAAACACAGTCAAAGTCAAAATCATCATCATTATCGCCACTGACGAATGTGTCAGATCGTACGCAAACTCTCGATAAAAAGCACTTTCCACCGTGATGTATTTGCATTTGACCTGCATTAACGTCCTTTGACCTAATTGGTCAAGTCTGTTATTATCCAATCAAAATGCTGTGTGGTATTGACGCAAGTCTTCGAAAATTCCCAAAGACTCCCAGGTAATGCAATGCGGAAGTGAATTATTGATGTCGAAGTATGATCTGTTGAAATTGATTTCGGCGAATAAACGACATGGTTTTTTAAAAAAAAAATGGTAACTAGCAATTATTATCGGTAAACTGAATACAACATGAAATATTTACTGCATTTTACTTTTATTAACAGGTCATTGTCGAAGCGTAGTTTACGCATGGTTATCGTGGTCTACGCATTCACAACATAATCATGGCGGTCGATATCCACGCTGTATCATGATATAAAAAACGATTACCAGTATTCGTTAAGCAATGATCAAAGACCAAGTTTTAAAATAGTGGCATTTTGAAGTGGTGGGCGCTTTGCCGAATGTGATCCCGAATATAAAAATTGCACAAAAGTGGGCGCTTGACCGGGCAAGGGTGCTAACGCGGTCAAGTACGGTAATTAGTTTTCAATGTTTCGCCATCATGGGGGGAGTCATGATATTTTATTTTCTTTAAACTATTCATCCATGCTTTCAATACTGCCTTCTTTGTTTTCCCAAAAATAGTTCAGAATAAATCAATTCAGAATAAAATTTCAATAAAGACAGCAACGAAAAAAACGTTACGACATGTATTTTACGACATCCAAGAAGATTAGTTATTTTATTTGTAAATTTTAATTCATGGCAAACGTTGGAACGGAACAGACTGTGTTAACAAGTTATCAAAATAGTAGATGTAGTGGTAGGAAATACCAGTTTGTTTCAGTAGCGTCAAAATTATTTAAATGTTTGTGAGAACTGAAAACCGTAGCATGAAAATAGTTCTCATATCTAAATACATAGTATAAACCAAAGATGGCATGTATATTGTAATAATGCATGTTTATACACTGTGTGGATAAAATGGTTTCCATGGTGTAACCTGTCAACACTATCAAATCTATGTCTGAAAAATTAGGCCAACAAAAGAAGATTTGTTTGTACCGGTTTGAAAGATGATAGTTAAGCGAAAATGTCATTATTATTATTATATGTACAGTACACAATCTGGCTTATAGTTTCATATCAATTTTGACCAAAAATGACCAAATTAAGAGTTTTTGAGAAATGAACATGAACAATGAGCAGCAGATGATTAGTGAATAAAGATAACTGCTCTCATGAAATGGTTTAAATTCATTTGAATAGTCTGTTAGGATACATGATGAAAACAACAATTAACAAACCTGCATTTGGTGTTGAGCAAATTTTATGATTGAATCCTTCTTCCGGTACCCAAACACAGACTAAATTTTCTGTGGTAGCGGCTTCAGCATTTTGGCATGGTTCTTCTGATTGTGTGTTATTCTGTTCAAACACCACGCCTTGGTCATCATTTCCCAGACTTTCTTCCTCAGTTTCATTCCCATTAGTAGAACCTCCCGGTGTTACAACTTCTACTTGTATTGCTAAGCTCTCTTGACTGTCTTGATTCTACAGAAATAATAATCATTTTTTTATAGAGAGTGTCTTCTGTTTTAAGCACCACAGTCTCCTTGCAGCACTTAATGTTAAAATTTAACAGTGTATTTTATATGTGTTGTGCATGTTGCACAGACCAAACATGAACATGTAAATGACCCTACAATTTCTTTGCTACTTTCAGACAAAAAACACATAATTTTCTATATTTGTTGAAAAAGTTCATTGATGGTTAATAAATTTTCTACCCACAATAAAAAAGTAGCAATTTGATTCCTGTCTTTGCAAGTAAACACAGGAAGAATATTTTAACAAAAACACATCTTTCATTGTATCAGATAATCAAAGAAAGCTTAGAAAGAACTCCCGTGTGCTCAGAGTATTGAAGACACATTAAAAATTCATTCAAAATTTACTTTGTACTTGAGATATTGATGGA